ATATTAATAGAATATTTCGTTTACAAAAAAAGGCAATGACAATTATAACTCGCTCACCTTACCTTTCTCACTCTGGACCCTTATTTTCCTCCTTGAAATTTTTTCAATATTATGGACTTATTAAAACTGAATATAGCCTTGTTTATGTTTTCTTATAAACAAAATCTGTTGCCAAATTCGTTATTGAGCTATTTCTGGTTAAATACATCTGTGCATAATTATTTCACAAGAAATTCTCGAAATATCCACATCCCAAAGTGCAATACCTCCCTTTTTAAAAATAGGTTATTTTACCAGGGTCCAGTGAATTTGGAATTCAGTTCCCTTTAACATTCAAAATAGCTCCTCAGTATCTTTTTTAGAAGGAAATATAAAGCAGTTTTATTATCTAGATATTAGATTCAGTATTGGGCTCTTGTTCATTAGGTTAGTTACTTAATTTCTTATCTTAGTCTGTGTTCCTTTTTGATGTGTTTTTATGTTACATATTGTATATCTTGTTTTCTGAAAGGGTTGGCCTCTTACAAGGTTTGTTTGTTGGCCTCTTACAAGGCCACTGCCTTCCTCATAATTCCTCTTAAGTATTATCATACATTTATCTGTTTATATACATGTATGTATTTTTATCTGTTGATCTCTTGAGGAGAAATAAATGAAACTAAAAGTAAATATGTAAAATGGAATATGAAAGAAACATGAAACCATGATAAACATGATGAAAAATAAACATGATGAAAAATAAACATGATGAAAAATAAACATGTTGAAATCAAATTACTGATTTTAATTGTATTAAAATTGTAAGCATTTTGTGACTAAGTAGTTTTAACGATGTGTATATAATAAGAGCATATAACAGTGATGTAATTACAATATTCGAATAGAAATGTAACCATAGAGTACCGAAGCTGTGACGTCATAAAAAAACTATTTTTAGAATTTCTCAATTTTTTCCTCATTTTCCAAAAGAGCATAAAAACTATAGGAACTCAGTGTTATATGATCTGGCTCCTAATGGTTAGGAGCCAGCAGGGGCGTCTCCAAAGGGGGGGGGTGTAGGGGTGCGACCCCCCCCCCACACACACCTAATAGCGCTGCCGTCGGGGAAAAAAAAGAAAAGGAAAAGAAAGGAAAGAAAGGAAAAGAAAGGAAAGAAAAGAGAAAAAAAGAAAGAGAAACAAGAAAAAGAGGGAGAAAAGGAGAGAAGGGAAAAGAAAGAAAAGAAAGAAAAGGAAAAAAAAGAAGAAAAAAGAGAAAAGGGAAACAAAAGAAACGGGGGGGGGGGGGTGAAAGAGAGGAGAGAGAGGGAAGGTAAGAGCCTGAGAGAGGATGAGTGGGAGTAAAAGAGAGAGGGGGGTTGTTGTGGAGTCGTTTCGTCGAGGGAGCAAGAAAGATACGGGTAAATATGTTGCTGTGTCGGGTCAGCTGTGTCGGTATTCTTGCTCGATCATCGGGTACTATATCAATGCGGAAGTTTGAAGTCGGTGCGATGTATATTGTCGGTCGGCCGACAAGTTTTTTTCCCTACGAACTGTGACTGTTTATCCGCTGTGACGACTTCGAGGGTGACTACAACTACAATACTTGTATTTTCTCGAAGCTTCACTTTCCTATAATATCAGCTAAAGAAATCAGAGGTTTAAAATTTTCGGGGAAACTAAATTCAAACAAGGTTTAAGAGTCAACAACGGTACGACGAATCGTCTTCCTTCCTCTATATTTTGATGAAAAGCCAAAAATTCCGCGCTTTGCGCGGAAAGGGAAAACTTCATTTAGACGAGCTGAGAACGGTACAACGAATCGTCTTCTTTCTATATTAATTAAATCAAACACCTAACCTTTTCGCGCTTCGCGCGTAAAGGGGGAAACTGAATTCAGACAAGGATTAAGAGTCGAAAACGGTACAACAAATCGTCTGCTTTTCTCATAATTTAATGAAACGTCAAAGCTGGTTTTATTTTGTTTGGTTAAGGATAATGGTTATTGTTAAAGTTAACTATTGTTGGACCTTGATTGAAGCCGGAAATTTGGTTGTGTAGTGACTTTCCTCGGAGGAAATGCCGCCACTCAATCACACAGTAACCGAGCTAGAACTAAGAAAACACATCCATACACCCTACATACAGTCAAATACATTGTCTTGCGAGGTCAGTCTAGATTGCACATGCCGTTTTCGCAATGCAAACCTTTCTGTAAATAAATGACCGAAGAGATTACGCAACAATTATTATTAGCGAGACGGGGATTCCTCGCATTGCATGTACGGTATGTGGGAATGAGCGTATACGGCGCTGTGCTAATAGTGTTATGAATTATGGTACGAGCGCAATTCAGCCCCGTCTATTTGTACACACTTTTGCTGTAGTTCATTATTATAACATTCACATGTAGTACACTGACTGAGAAGGATCATATCACGGTACGTACAATAATTACGTTCATACTCATTTGAAAGCTAGGAATTAAGGTACTCATTTGACACCATTTTGATATATATTTTGTTTGGTGTTATCAATATCAGTGATTGATTTATAGTTCAACTATTCTGTATGGAAACATGAATAAAGAATAAATATGTTCTTATTTATGTCTATCTTTGACTATTCCCCGTCTGCAGAAATTCACTTCATTTCATGTAGAGACTGCTATATGGTTATTAGAAAGGTGTAGGCGGAGGCGGAGGGGGAGGGGGAGGGGGGGGGGGGTCGCATGTTTGAAAAAGATGACATTCCACAACTGCTGGGTAACCTAGCGTGTGTAGACTTTGTAGAGACCGACTTTGGAGTGGGGTAGCCCCTTCCCTGATAGATCCGCGTATGCATTAAAGAAGACTAGATGAAATATTCTGTATTGGATACCACGGGAAACCTCATTTTCGTTGAAAAGATGGAAAAAAATATATATATTTTGCTTTTAATTTCAAGTTTAAAACATCTTCAGCTGGATATATTCAGGAACCAATAACCATGGCAACCAATTCCAAGATAGTTCTGGAGAGCATCTTCAGATTAGATCCTGGAGCTGATCTAACTCAGAAGCAACGATCCGAGCTTTTTAAATGGATGTCACCAACATGTCTAGTAGAAGCATTCCTAGATACTGATTTCATTAGGCTCGGGTAAGGATACTTACTATATATAGCCATGTTTACTTTATGTTTTATTATAAAACAGTTAGTTTCTGTCTCATTTCTATAATATCCAACATTGCGCTTTAATTCACACATGATTATGCAAACTGGAGTAATTAATTTAGAAAATGACGTCTTCTATACTGCATCATAATAATAAATCAAATGCCCCTATCCTTTGGAATAAATTACCAGCGCACTTTCATAATATTCATTCTCTTGACCAATTCAAGTCCTTGCTGAAAACGCACCTTTTTAATTCATAAATAATATTCTGCAGTTGTGAGTCGGTCAAAGGAGGTGCACACCGTCTTTTTTTTCTTTTTTTTGGATCTTATGTTTGATCCTATGTTAGACGTCTTGTATGTATGTTTGATCTCACTCTTATCTTATTTTTTATTATTATATATGCATGATTTATTGAATAAAGAACAGATGTATAAGTTGTGTGTTTATTATAAGTTTTGGTAATTAATTATTTAGTCAGAATATGGTGCGCTTGGAGACACCAGTATTAAGCGCCTTATAAATATTGTGTATTATTATTATTATTATTAATAATCAGCTCATTTTCGAGTGATCTTTTACTTCTATTAAGCATAATAAGGGACATTTTGTTTCCAAATCTTTATACTTGTATGAAAGTGGGATTATTTCTAATGATTATGTACTTTATATTCTTATTAATGCTTGGTTCATTAACGTTTTGTTTTGTTTAAATCGATGATCCCATTTTATGACCATTTGTACATTGTAAACATTGCGCAATTATTCCCTAGACTACTATTTTTTTTTAAATTTTAAATAAACCACATCGAATTGAATGTATTGATAAACAGTGGCGGATCCAGGATTTTCTGATGGGTGGGAAGAGGGGTTGGTGGCACACGTGACAAAAGGGAGTTTATCACACTCTTTAAATCTACAGAAAAGGGAGTGCACTCTTTTAGGATTCATGTTAGGGAAAATTTTGTTTTGAAACCATTCTCAAGAGAGTAATACAAACCACTCCTTGGAGTGGATTCCATTTTAATTTGGAATTGATTCAATTCCAAAACGAAGTGATCTCTCATATTTTAGTCTCGTTCGTGAATTTATACCCCTGTGCATTCAGTAATGGAACATTTTCAAATGAGTTATTATTCCTAAAATATATACATTCTGCCAAAGGAAAAAAGGGAAAAGGCAAATCAGTTTTGGACGGGGAGGGGGTTCCCCATGTTCCCCCTGGATCCGCCATCACATTTCTCATATCAAATGTGAAGGTGTCGTGGTATAGTGGTTCATTCACTTGACTCTCAATGTAAGGGTTGTGGGTTCGAATCTCAGCCTAGCACTTACGTCTTTTGACAAGACATTAATCTACATTTGCTACTATTCACCCAGGTGTAAGTGGTCACATGTTAATTGTTGCTATAATAATAATTGCAACGCCTTCAGGAAAAACAGCATTGATGCTGATGAAGCCAAGGTTGGTAATATTACTATTATTAATATCAAAGGTTGCCATGGCATACAAAATGTTGTGTATACCGCAGAGAGAATTCATATTTAGATGATATAAAAGTAGTCTTTCATTTAACATAAAAATGAAACATTTGAAGAATTTAACCTTTGATATATGATTCAATACAAACGACATTGAATAATTGTATTAGTTTACAATTTATACAGTTTTGTTTGAATATTGTTAAATGCATCGGAAATGTTATCTTAATAATTATAATCATACACAGTATACGTTTAGCTTTTAGCCCCCGCATGACTGTTACAAGTCAACAGTATTATACCACATCATTATGTTCTGTAGGTCTTTCTATATTATTCAAAGTATTGTTATCTACATATATATTTAATTTTAAGAGACCAATATACGGCCTTAAAAATGGACTCACTGAAGGAAACCTTTCTCCTGCTCAAAGACAACATTAAACTCTTAGAACAGGTACGTGTCAATATTTTTAGTTTGTAATATTAATGTATGCAGAACTCTTAATTTCGTTTTAGTTTATGATTGCATACTTCATCTTCTGGGAATAACATTAATGTTATGCATAACATGACTGGTTTTATATGGGGTGACTTTCTTGTTTCATTGTGATCGCAGGGCTTTGTTAAAGTCAAGCACATATCCATTGGTGTTTGACTGAGTTTAGTTAACATTACTAAAATAAAAAGTCTGATCAATTAATTAAATCAGCGGGTCAAATCTCCCATATCAAATCTGCAATTTGGTCATGATTTGTGATGCTATATCACTCTTCAATTCGCTACTTAAAACGGGGGCTTATAGGTATAAGCCTCTTTCACACCGGATCTGCGTAGAGCTGCGTAGTGGGGCGTAGCGAGTACGCAATTACGCAAGTACGAAATTAGGCGGCGTATTCATTAAAAATAAATGTTGCTTCGGTGTAGCCCTTGCGTAAGTTATGCGTATGCTGGCTTACGATGACGTATATGGTTACGTGCCCTATGCATAGGCACCGCCTACCTACGGCATATGCAATTGGCGTACCTACGCATACGATTGCATATAACAGGTGTAGGGTTGCGTACTTTTACAAATATCATTTTCGAGTCACGGGTAAAATTAAAGCTCCTCGGTGATGACGCTCGGTTACGTCTAATGGCGGAGTACATTTTTGAGATAATCTTGGGCAATAGTTTTAACCATGCACCTCAAAACATTCAATATTTGCATTCTATACTGTACTGATTGAATCAAGCATTCCTAATAAACAGGAGGCTCGTTTTCTACTCCATTGCCCCTGAGCCATCTATGCAAAGAGTTTGACCAACTTAAATCAGTTGGTCACAACCTTGGCGTGTATTCTTTTGTTTGTGCTTGACCAACAAAGCATTATTCGCTTTATTGTGCCCAACTCGAATTAGGTTGGTCAAACTTTGAACCTACATCTCTGTGCATGATAATTGTCCCTTCTTTCCAAACTCTTTATCTCATTATATTCGTTTGGCTCACGTTTGATGCAGGTAGCAGAAGTAATCTTCCGGCACATGCGTTCAGAATTACGCAAGGATGCAATCGAACCCGATCTTCTCCGAGTAGTTCCGATCCTACTCGAGTGTCCAGCCTTCGACAGACCGGATAAAGAGTGGGGTGATCGAATCATCAGAGAAATGGCAGAAATCTTGAAACGGATGCATAAAGCTACGAAGAGGAACTTCGAAGTGCTTGGTAAAAACAAAATCAAAAGTGGCTTGAAGCATAATGTACATTGATATATCTCACGCCAGGGCATTGGATCTACTGTCGTTTACACATCTCAATTTTATTACATGACATTATTACGGTTAATTACAAATATGTGCTCGTAGCGGTCCACTACTTGCAATTTCCTGAGAATCATTACTTAACGATAAAAATACATTTCTTAGTCTTAAACTTAAAGAAAACTCATAACAAATTGACTACAACTGGGTGATTTTAGACCGATATGAAGCATAGAATGGGTCTTGATAACTTAAACCATCGGACCATAATATAAACTTCTTTATTTTCGATTGACAGTTTGTTGGTGGAGTAAGGACTCGGATCTTTTAGCCAGAGTGGTTAAGGTCTACGTACAGGCATTCAGGAATGACCTGAAGGATTATCTGGACAACACTGCGTCGAAACCATGTGATAACCTATACTTAGATGTATTGGTACTCTTGAGACAGGTTCGTATGTTTGGGGAACGGAAATGATTTACTGTTATTGGTCGTTCTGACTTTTCATGTGACATATTATAGCAGTTTGAATATGCATAGCTGTGAGATACATAGTGATGTAGACCTATATCAACAAAATGTAACAAAGTAGCGGGTGATTATCTGAGGCATACTGTTGAGGATAGGTTGAACATTTTACCTTTAAACTCTTCCGGTCAGCAACCTTTACTATTAACCCCCTGAGGTTTATTATTGCACATCCAGTGCGAAATGTAGTACTCATTGATACTGTTTCAGTATTTCGTTTCTATTTGTAAAATTAAAGGGCAATGCAACCCTTATTATAAGTTTATTTGTATGAAAGAAGACAAATAAGATAGAATGGCGAAAATTTGATATTGGACCTGTCTTTCTCCCTAGTGTCTTCTCCCTTAGGACACTACTCAAAATATATAATTGATAGCATATTGATATAAATCCTATAAAGAGGATAGACTCTCCTAAATCATATATTATTGAACAAGTGAAATTTTCGTCTTTTTGTGTGTTTGAACAACAAGGAATGTTGTATGCCACTACATCACAGAGACATTACCGATTTAGCCAATTTGAGGAGCCCATGTCTGTAGTGATCACAACTTTCAAAAATTCACAACATTCTCAATTTTGTCCGGTTTCATTCAAACTTTCACCAGACTACTTCTCTGATTTGTCTGCTTTCCTCGAGAGTAGTTTGATATCAAGGTAGGATTCACCTTTTAAATACGTCTCTGTGGACCTGCTCAATGCAAACTTGTCTCACTATGATGCAATGAGATTGAAATAAGTTAATGGATTATTTCACATACAGATCAATACATCGCATGGGTACACGATTCCCGTGAATCAGTTTTACATCCTTCAACCAGGAAATGAAGAATTAAACAGGAAGATCGAGAGGCTTATTCTTCAGCTTCATCAACAGCATTTGCAACTCCCTCACCTGGTATTTATTCAGTCTTGTTATGCTTCACATTTTCAGGAAAACATTACACAACACTACAAAAGACAATCATAAAATTATAGGCCAATTCATCGTAAAGTTGTTGTTGACAATATATATTGTGCTAATCATCATCAGCATTTCCATCACCACCACCATCATCATCATAACTAACCATTATTCATCAATCATCTTCACCATCGTTATTAACCATCACCCCCTGACATGCCTGATAATGGGGACAACCTTCACCATGATCATTTTGCATATTCGGCTGTTGAGACCGCGAGGGACGCTGTATTTCTCACAACTTGCCTTATACACTTCAATGACGATATTACAATAAAAAATACTATTTTTCATTGGCGCTATCATATCGGTGGTTTTATCCATGGCTTTTGTTAATAGCTTGCTATATCTACAAACTGTAAAGTTAATGTTAAGACATAAATTTGATAACTGTCTGTAAATTTTAATGGGATGTTCCCCTTCACACCCCTCCTAAAAAGGTACTGATTATGAAAAGAAGAAAACAATATCAGATGAATAAGGTACATGTATTGTGTACAGGAGGGAGGCACTTGAAGGCAATAAAATATTCTAACTACTCAATATCTCTTGATTAAAAAAAAGGATAAATGTCAACTCTTTTATTTTGAAATAAATGATAAACACATGTGTCAATAATGTGGTTACTACTTGATATAAATATATATTCTCGATAATGAATTAGATCTGTATCACGATCTAGTGGAAAATGTAACATTTCATTCTAGATTCTTATATAGAAACGTATTATTATAGATTTATGATGAATTCTAATCAAAAACAGTCCGTGGAATTTCGGCCATCTCACAGCCGGGGGGGGGGGGGTGTATCATCTGATCTCGCCTGTGGATTTGAGATTATATTGAATCCCGTCATTAACTTTTTTCTCTTCCCTATCCGCTTATGCAATCTAAATTGTTTTATGTTCGTTTAATCAGCGTCTCCTTTCATTAGCTAACGTGCCATGGGTACTGGACGTACCTCTGAAGTGGGAAATGCTGTGTATGGAGTTCGACTCTGCATGTCAGGTATGTTTAAAGCTCTATTCATTGACAAGTCATGGTGAAGTCGTAAAAGCAGTTGAGTGAATTCAAATTAATTTCATACAATGGTCACTTTCTATATCATTCTTATTCTCATAACCATGAAAAGGCGAGTAAAAGAGGGGTTTGCAATTTTGGTTAATGAGTCATGCATATATCATTTTCAAGGTAGTTATTGAGACAATTATTATGATGATTAAAACAATAGTTCCTTGAGAGTTCACTTCTTCCCTATTATGACCGGTTTCAATTTTATTTCTTGATCTAAAGGGAAAAAAATGAAACCGGTCATAGTGAAGAAGTGAACTCTCAACGATTTTTATAAAAAAATTCACTTGTAGTAGGTGATGAATGTTTGTTCAATCAAAACAAAACCAGAATGTAGCTAGAGCTTTATCTTTTAGAATATTTTTCATTATTTCTTACTTTGGTGATAAATAACCCAAAGTGAACTACAGCACTTAAAATTGTCGTTTTAGTGCATCTCATTTTCAGATAACCTAAATCACATTTCCCCCTATCTCTTTCCTCGATTTCTATTAGTTTCTTTTTTTCTTCTTTTTTTCTTCATTTTGTGTGTGTGTGTTGTTGAGACGTAAGGCTTACCAAATCGCTTATCTTTCGTGCTTGAGTTATTATTCCATTATTATCTACGGTTGTACGGCTGGAAGGCTTATGTTGTTTCAAATACTGTTTTACCCATGATATCCTATAGCTCCGACAGAAGGAGACATTTCTACTAAAATTTGAGGAAGTTTTCGGAAGAGGATCATGCCTTATGTTGGTAATTATCTTAAGATATCTTAAGATAGACTTGGAACCATTTTACCTTCGATTCGAGATTGACGACGACAAAAAGAAGGTTGTTGAATCGGCTATCTCGGAGCTAAAAGGTAAAGATGAAACGTCTCTCATGCTCCCGATGGAAGTCCATTTCAAGGATAATGTGTCTTTGGGTCGAAATGCTGGTGGTCCCATGAAGGTAAATATCAACACCCTTTCACACGATGGCAACTACTTTCGAAACATCAACCGAAGGCACTTTCAATAGCTTTGTGCGTTATCTATTTACGTGTAAACATGATGATGACGTATTACGTAATCTGAAATTTATTGAGATTGGACATACAATAGGGTATCGAAATTGACCTAGAGTTGATTTTCGAAACTAGCTGCGATCGCGTAAACATAACTTTAACTTCAAAAGCTTGATGTCAGTTGTTATTCTTTGACGCCGTCTGAACAGTATACAGATATTGACTGGCAGGGGGTGTAATATTATACAGTTATTGACTGGCAGGGGGTGTAATATAACATTATTTGGACTGCTGAAGGGAGTTATATTTCCCAAGTGGTTATATTTGCCCGAAGCGCGCAGCGCTGAGGGAAAATATTGTCACGAGGGAAATCATAACTCCCTTCAGGTCCGAAGAATGTTATATACCCCCTGACAGTCAATATCTGTTACATATTCAAATTCAAATTCAAATTTTATTGATTTCAATCCAAACAGATAGGATCATTCTCATTTTTTTTTTGTTAAAGATAAAGACCAGTTCTGGTCATGTGTTGCATTGTGAAAGAAACGTTGTGGAATCGATCAGAAAAGGTTGATCATCTAGCATATCAGTTTTGGTATGTACTGCAAGTTCTGGAATCATCAAAATGATAGAGCAATTTTTTTGTGTGTCCCAAAATATGAAAATTTGGCCGATCGATATTTTGTTTCGTAGGGGGGGGGGGGGGTAAGGTCAGCTGTTTGGGGTCACCCATTACCACAATTTTTTTTTTTTTTTTTTTAATGTATATTTTTTTTTAAACAACCAAAGGTGTTTTTCCCCCTCCAGAACACACACATAAAAAAAGCTAAAAAGGGGGGGGGGGTTCAACCCCCAAACGCCCCCCCCCCCCTGCGTACGCGCCCGACACTGATATATATGTTTCTGATTACCAACCCCTCCTCACGAGATGACCCTGACAACTCGACCCTATTCCAAATCCAAACTCGTGGAAGACGGTGGGCATGGAAGACAGTAAATAATGCTTATTACAATACTAAATTACAACGAGATTAATAATAATGGTAAAATCAATCAATGATCTACTAATTTAGACATTTTAAAATTTTAAAATAAAAAAAAAACCATTAGTAATTAATAGCTGTTTCCGATCTTTGATTCTTTTTGTGCATTTGGGGTTTTGTTTTACTTTGTTTTGTTTTGTTTTGTTTGAAACGTGTATTTCCTTTACATTTCTCGTAAAGGAATTCTTTTCCCGACTGTTCGGAGAGCTGTTCAATGTTAAGAAGCATTCCATCTTCAAGAAACTCAACGATTCTCCTTCGTGTACGACATTGTGGTTTAACAAGGTCATTATCGAAACCAAATTTCCATCTCGGAAGTTCAGTACAGTACCCATTATTACTTATCTCAATATATTGTTAATGTAAGTTGATTATAGCTATTGCTGGTGACAACGGGTGGTTGGCAGCCGGGGAACACAATAGTATTTGCCCCCCCCCCCCCTCCTCCTCCCTCTAAATCTCTCTCTTTAAAGTACGTTTTCTGTATAGAAACTTCCACATGTAAATTAAATGGTTTGCTTGATTTAAACTTCAATGCTATTGCACTAATACTGTAATAGTGCCTTTTTTTTTTACCCCCCCCCCCAATATAAAAGCCTTCCTTGCTCACCCCAGAGTTACTTTCGAAAATCTATCGACATTGTCGTCTGTTCATGAATTTATTGGTTTTTAATCTGATTACTCGACCATGAGTAATTAAGACCTGTGGCCCAGTTTCCAGTGAGTGGGTTCGATACTCAGGCAGGCAAGCTCCCGGCCCCTCCACTCAGTGTTATTTAGGGTACGCATGTTCCCTCCTTTTGAAAACACCCCCTAAGTCCGTTGTGTAAAGTCGTTTTTGTGTACTACGAGCCGGACTTTGGTGCGTGAAAAGTACCCCTTTACCGGACATTTTGGTAACACACATGGTATCTCTCCGTTCACGGAGTGGGGGGGGGGGGGTGGTGGGGGCAAGCTAGTGTCCAAACGGGATCAAAATCTTGACTTTATAACCAAAAAGTTACAAACTATTTATTACCATGAGTACTAACCAATATTTTGCGTCCCCCCTCCATATACATAATGTTTGTTGGCCAAGAAAAAATATGCCTTGTCAATTGGGAAATAGTGTGCACCATCATTCGGATCAAAACACCATGCAATAAAAGTTTGTATTCTTCTATATTTAAAATTTTAACATAGGATTCTAAGGACCTGGACAAATTACGATCAGTCGGGACGCTGTTCGCTCTGATGTTCTACAATAAGGTCATCGTCACAATGCCGTTTCCATTTCTTTTCTACAAGAAACTGCTTGGAACTAGGTACACACCCAATCAACAATTTTTAATTTAATCGCAGAAAGACAAGGAAGTTATGTGTCTCTAATATTTGGGGGCCAGGGGGTACAAAGTTCTTCATTCTTTTGCAATTTTTGTTCCCATTTCGTACTATTTTCATTTGTATTCTCGAACTAGAGAGCTCATTGATAAATTTTTCCATTATTTTAAAAACATTTCAAAATGATTGTAAGTTCTTGCGAACTAAGACGAGATCGGGCTTTCCCGACTTGTTTCTCCGATTACCTTATGAGTTGTATACCGAGTTTGTTGGACAGATAGCTCGATGTCCAACTCCACAAGCTCTTGGATAGAACATACCAAAGAATGATTACATGCATAATATTATAAATAAATGGATCTGGAATACATTGAATGTAAGAGCTAGCTAATGAATAGAGAAAGGGGGAGAGAGAAGAGAGGTGGAAGAGAAAGAGAGAAAGGGAGAGAGAGATAGAGAAAGAGAGAAGAGAAGAAAAAAAGAGAGAGAGAGATAGAGAAAGAGAGAGAGATAGAGAGACAGACAGAGACAGAGACAGAGATAAACAGAGAGAGAGAAAGAAAGATGAGGATGCATTGCTGATTATATACAGTTTATTCTAAATTATTCTTTAGTTATTAACTGTAGCTTGTCACGCCAGGTGACCAGAGAAATAATACGACTCTATTTTAACAATATTCAGCCCATCCAGTTTGGAAGATCTGAAACTACTAGATCCCGGGATGGCGAAGGGCATGGAAACATTGCTAGAGGCGAGTGACTTTGAGCTTTCCGACTACAGATTTACAGTCGATGGACCGGTGAACGAACCGGAGATCGAACTCAAACCAGGAGGCAAAAACGAGGTCGTGACCACGTCAAATGTGTAAGTGCAGTACGACCTAGTCAGAAAGATTTATACCGTTGTGTGTTTTAAAACTTCTACATTGGACATATCGATGTGGTCGTGGAAGTATATGAATTATGGTTCACTTTGTCTTGGAATGTAATTAAAAAAACGTCCCTGAATTGTTTATTACAAATTATCTACATTAAATTCCTTTGTGAATACTAGTTCTAGAATTATTAGATAATAGATTTCATACTAATGCCAAACATCATTTCAAAACAAATGTCACATACCATTTGGAGTTTATAGCTTTAATTTTGACAGTTAAAAAGTGCCTTTCTTGTATAAATTTGGCACTCGATTTCGAGATTTCCACCCCCTATATTGATTATGGTATCCTGAGAAGTAATTTTGACCAATAAAAGAGATGCTTATAAATAAAGACTGTATTATCTTAACTCCCATTTCCAACCAAAACCTGAAAATGAAGTGAATCCTGAAGTCTTATTGGCTTTCAATGGAAATATTTCTTTTATTTTTCGAATCCCAGTCCAGAGTACATTGAGCTTTACGCCAGGCACTACACAGCGTCCTCCCAGTTCGATGTATTCAGTGAGAGTTTTCGGAGTATGTTCGGTCGTTTAAGTCTGCACAAACGTTTCGCACCGCAAGAGCTGATGTCATTATTTCAAGGAGGGGAATATGATTGGAAGGCCTTTCAAGAAGTGAGCTCCTCTTCTTTAATTTGTTTATAAAAATCTTCTCTCATCAACGCACTTTAAAATCCACAAATGTAGAAAATTAATCTACTTCAAAGCAAAATATCTTGATTTTTGTTTACATAATGCAAAGTTAGTAGGTGCTTTTAGATTTAATAGAAGACAATTTATTTCAAGAAGATAAAACAAAGATAATACACGCTGTATACTTAAAGTTTGTTTCTTGAGAAATAAATTTGAAATTGAGTTTATTTTTTTGTGGCACAAATCAATTATCTTTTCTTTGTTTTCGTTGTTGCTGTTGTTCATTTTCGTGTTTTAATTTGCTCTTCTCTGCACAGAGCTTTGGTTATGATGAGAAAGGCTACACAGCAAACCATCGCGTGGTCAAGATGTTTTGGTCAGTGTTCCATGGTGATCTCACTGAGGGTGACAAAAGAGACTTTCTGAGTAAGTCAAATCTCCACTGGTGATCGTTGACCGACAAAGGTCTAACTGTATGTAAATAGACGTACCTACATGTATAGCACAGTGCTGTATGAAAAATAGATAGTATAAAGACGATCAGTCACTTCGTCGTGTTTGAACGTATGGCATTGATAATACCTTTTAAAACGTCCTGTGACAAGACAAAATAATATTGTGCTGCTTTGGCATCTTTTTTGTCATTTTGACATGCATGGTGTTACTTTCAAGACACTGATAGTGTCACTGTGACAAGATGATAATAACCTAGTCATGTCTTTCACTCTGCATGTTTCAGGGCACATTGCTTTCATGATCCACCAACTACCTTTGATTATGTCGGAAGGCACTCTTTTTTTCCAAAAGTAATAAAAGGTTTGAAATTCAGAAAAAAAAAAAATCCCATACCAGGTGTGGTCATAATTCCGAAAATGAAATAGAGTTCATTCTCCGAAAGTTCATAATTCTTAACAAATTATATAGGGTTCTATGTCATTTTCGGAATTAGAAACGTTCAAATTCATGGAAATTATGAGCCCTATTTCATTTTCCGAAATACGAACCTTCCGAATTGTTAACCTTCAGAGTAAGAGACTTTCTGATTTATGAGCCTTAAAGGTAAAGACCAGTATTGGAAACGCCCCAATTTCAAAAAATGAAATGGAAGCTCTCATTACCAATCATGTGAAAGAATATGTTTTGACTAATACATGATGATGAAAAATTTGCCGGGAAACCGCCTACTAATTCATATATTTGGTAAATTTGTTTCTCTCATGGTCTGTGAGAGATATAGGGTAGTCCCATATACATCTTTCTGTGTATAGTGCTTGTAACTTTACGAAGAATGGGCCAAATTTCTTATCATTTTGATGATTCCAGAACCTTGCAGATGCTAGATGCTAGATGATCAACCTTTTCTGATCGATTCCACAACGTTTCTTTTACAATGCAATCGCATGACCAGAACTCGTCTTTACCTTTAATAAGAAAAATGGACAATGACCGATTATTCATCTTCTAATGCAAATTGTTTTCAGGAGTCATGACAGGTGCTGACCATGTCCCCATTGGTGGAATCCAGGAGGTTAGACCTAGGATGTGGCCAATGGGAGGAGACAAAGATTGTAAGGGGAAACCCCCGAAGGACATGTGCCCTGAAGTGAATACATGTCATGGTTTTGTCGTGCTCCATCTCCCGAAGTACAGGAAAAGAGAGCATCTAAAAGAACGACTCATGAAGCTAATAGAGATGAAAGGGCATGGATTTCATAAAATACCAGAATAAACCTTGGACTGTCGTAAAGACTTTAACAGTCTCGTATTCGGACATTGACTTATTATAAATCAATATATAATATCTTAGTTAAAGAAAAAAATTCAAAACTGGTTAATGAATTGTCCTGTTGGGTCAATGAATAAAGAAAAAGTTAAGAAATTGTATGGAATCCTATCTGTCATACGCGGTGGCACTAAATTCGGTCACAGCGACAAATCGACCTATTTTGGGCCACTGGGAATAATGTAATTGAAAACTTTGTTTTGTTTGGTATTGGTCTCGTTTGTGTGACTGAGCTGAGACAACATACGACATAAACAAAGAATGGAATATATTGAAATGCCTGTCATTTTCTGCATCATACATAAATAACATGATCCATCGTTTTAATTGAATTGAATTGAATTGTACAACATTAGACTTTCTATTATTTAGAAGATTCGGTCGGTTTTTGTTTTCAAAGTGGCCTATATCGTGTAGTTTTATGCATTTTGAATCATAGCATTCAAATGACTATCCATTCAAGTTGTCTGAGATGGAGGATATGGTAGTTATTAAGATTAAGTTTTGTTGTTTGTTTCCTCAATCGTAATTGTTGAGTGCGCTTCGCTATCACAATATAAACATGTAACGAAGGCAACAACAAGGCGACTATGAGGATGATGAGGATAAGAAAAAGATAAAGACAAAGTTAGACAAGTTTTGGTTGCCCTTACAAGATGCTCATCCATTTTATATTTCTAGTACTTTGGCACAGCAGAGCACACTGACATAATACATGTATAGCTGAATACAACCAGCTAGTCCATGAAATTGAGGTAAGCAACAAGTAGAAGTTAACCAGAAAACAGACTACAGAAATTACTGCATTTTCACAGTAGATCTGGTTATGAGATGGTAACGAAGGATTTGATTAAATTTGATGTAATAACAAGTTGCTCAGACGGTGTCAAACATGTCTTGTCTAGGTGAGGTTATAATCACATGGATATGCAATATGTAAAATATAACTAATTTTGATGATTGCGAATAAAATCATAGATTTTAAGACAGATTGTATTGCAGCAATACGCCGATTTGCACATGTATATATATATGAGAAAATAATGTCAGATGTGCACCGTAAGCTTTAATTTTTCCTCTGCGTCGTACAGAGTACTACACTAAACAATTATACACTGATGGCGTACTAAAAGTGTTGTATATTCTCGCAGTTATGTATATATATACTTCATTAAACTGATAATCCATATGAAAATATCTTTCAACAATTATTTTTTATCATCGTGTATTTTTCTCCACAAGGCGCCATGTAGGCCTATTGTCTTGTGAGACATAGGCGCGGTTTCTTCACGATGATTTTTATAATTCAAATATAATTATAATTATGATTGAATGTAAATGTCATTTTGGATTAAGAAATTGTCATTGCTTGTATGTGGTTATGGGGGAATACAACATTTGAATGCCAAATGGTTCACTGAAATTCGTTTTTTTTTTTTTTTTTTTTTTATTTTTTATTTTTTTTTTATAGAAGCATTTAGGTTTTTAACTAACAGATTTACTATACTAAATCGTAAACGTTTTTCATGAACTTTGTTTATTATTTTTTCGTAATCATGACAAAAAGTATTGAATATTAAAACTTTGAATTGAATTGAATTAAATCGAATCGAATTGAATTGAATTTAATAGAATTGAATTGTAAGATAAATACGATTTAATTGTATACATTTTAGGGAATCCAGCCTTCTTTCTCGACCCTTAGTGAGCACTCATTTTTGTTTTTGTCCCCGAAAATTTGATTTTGTTTTCTTCTTTCTTTTTTGTGCTCAAGAGGGGGGGGGGGGGGGGGGGGGGGTTGTCCCATTTTTAAAATCTTTTTTATTCTCAACGAGGAGGGAACAGGGTAAGTGCCCAGTATTCTTTTGTAACTCAACACCCCCCCCCCTTGAACACAGACAAGAAACAAAAATTGACGTTAACCCAGACGTATGAATCATATTTGATTGATACACGTCTGTAAAAACACAATTACACACAATGGCAAAGCTTGATAATGCTTTACCAGTACCTTTATTGGACTTCTTCTAGCGACCAAACACGTAGAAATAAAACCAAACAAACAAATAAACATCATCTGTCCAATCATTAGTGAGCTTTTTCTTGTAGTTGTTAATGTGTGTTTTTATGTTACCTATATTCAATCTTTTTTTCCTTTTTCTTATTAATATCAATTTGAGTTGAATTATTGCAAATGCCATGTATATTTTTACCTTAGTATGTATGTTTTAAATTCCTTTAAAAAAATTTATTGTACATGTTCTGGGAGAGCAGGTCCAGAAATTGACTTGAAATGAGACCACCCTTTTGAAATAATACGATGTACTAAAATAAACAAGTCAACGCACAGCGTAGTATCCCCTCGCAGGGTACAAATGGCCTATACGTCAGAACACGTTACCTCCATTGGACTGTACTACAGGTTTTCCCGGCCAATTTCGTAAAAGCAGCAGTCAATTTCATTAACGTGCAGTGGCGTAGACAGGTTCGTACACCTGAGGGGGATGACTCAGGGGCGGATCTAGCTTTTTGCTAAGGGGGGGGGTGACCAAAATAATGACGATGCGAAGCATCGTCCACGAGCCGCGAAGCGGCGAGCCGATTTTTTGGGGGGTGTTTATTTGAACCCCGTAAGTGATGTTTTCCTGGATTCTATTAACACAATGGAGACCATAAAAAGCAGTGCATGATAACGTCTTTTTAAATCAAGTAACAGTTAAATACACAGTTATATCCAGAGTTATCATGTGTTTGGTTAAGTTACCAGATGAGTTGAATATCTTCTCACAATATTTGCACTTGAAAGGGTTTCTCTCCAGCGTGCGTTCTTTTTTCTTTCTTTTTTTCTTTTTTTTTCTTCTTTTTTTTCCTTTTTTGTTTTGTTTGTTTTTTGGGCCGCCCAAGGGGGGGGGGGGGGGGGTTAAACCCCCTAAACCCCCCCCCCCCCGTAGGTCCGCGCCTGTTTAATCTTGTGGTTATCTTAAGATAACCACAAAATACTTTTTACCGTCTGAATTGGCTTTCACCATGTGAATGCGGCTAATAACAATAAACACAATTACAATAATGATGAGGATTATTATTATCATCATCATAATTATTATTATTATTAATATTATAATTGTTATCATTATTATTACTATTATTATCATCATTATGACTTATTAAGTAAGCAAATATCATTCCTCAAAACCTGGGGGGGATGATTGTACATGCCATCCCCTCCACCTTGTGAGGTGGGGGGGATGCATCCCCCTCATCCCCCCCGTTGTCTACGCCCCTGTTAACGTGCATTCATGTTCGAAAAAATTTCTCCACTCGTTGCTCCCCTGTTTCATTTTTAAACTTGTTGCATTCAATTTCGTTTCGAGTCACCGAATTTTCTAAACATGCACATTCAAATTAAAGCTTGGTTCAGTCAATTTGGAAATGCGTAAGGGTCATTCAATTTCGCCAATGTTGAGTGGGAGGTGAATTCTTTGGCGAAATGCGGTTTCATATTCGTGTATGGGCAACCTCTTTCGCAAACTAGACCTCATAATCAAAGTATGAGGCTGGATGTTCATTCGGATATTCAGTATTTCATGTTCATTTGTTTATTCTTTTTCTCTATGATCTTTTCTGATATGATTTCACATTATACAATCTTCTTATTTGTCTGATATATTTATATTGCATTTTATGTTTTCTCTTTCTTTCGACATTCTTTATTTTTGTTGAAACATCTCTTTACTCATATCTTCAAATAATTTTTCATTATAACTGCCTTAGGGGTTATTTTTTAAATGGTTTGTTTTGATCAATCTTGAATTTAACATCTTTTTCTTTATTCATCATTGTATTTTGTTTCCATCATGTCCATGTCTATTAAACCTGAACTCTACCTATACTACAAGATCTGTTTATATATAGCTTGTGCTTAGAAGAGAATTCACAAATTGTGCACCTTCTCTGTGGACATGCAGTTACCTGTGCAATGACAGAACGAATACGCATCTCATTTTCCCAAGTAAACTTTGCATAAAACTATTCAAACAGAAGTATATTAAGTGACAAATTAACATCAAATGAAAAGCAATGCACAAATGTCTCATAAGTATGCCTAATCACGAAATTGAATGTATGAAGACATACCACCGTCTGTCCGGCGCGAATTTGAATGCTCTTTGCACGCTTTTCTAAATTGAATGCTCGTTTTGCACGTCTCCGTGGCAAGAGTATGAAATCGCTTGCTACTAAATCAAATTGAATGACGCAATTAGCTTTTTGAATGTTGATCTACATAGTCATTCAATTTCGCACGAACTTGAATGAACGTAACGTAAATACGGATGCTAATTTTACGAAGTTGGGCGGGAAAACCTATATTATATTACTAGGCAAGGAAGTTAACCACATTTGCGCATATATAATTAGGTGTTTTTGCATATTTAATGGGCTGTGAACTTTCACCTTTGACCTACATACTCAGAAATCGAACTTAGGCTGTACCTGTATTTTGATACCATGTACCTTCATATTAGTTTTATTAAAATTCGTCAAACATTACTGAAGTTATCAAATGGAAACCAGATTCGCATATTTAATGAGCTATAACATTTGACCTACATACTCCGAAATCGAACTTAGGCTGTGTTTTGATACCATGAACCTTCATATCAAATTTCATTAAAATCCGTCAAACAATACTAAAGTTATGGATCGAAAACCAGATTCGCATATTTAATGAGCTATGACCTTTGACCTTCGACCTACGTTCTCCTAAATCGAACTTGGCCTGTATTTTTATATCTTGTACCTTCATATCAAATTTCATTAAATACCATCTTCTTATTTGTCTGATATATTTATATTGCATTTTATGTTTTCTCTTTCTTTCGACATTCTTTATTTTTGTTGAAATATCTCTTTATTCATATCTTCATATTTGTCATTATACATGTCTTTGAGGTTATTCTTTAAATGGTTTGTTTTGATCAATCTTGATTGAGTAGGTGATCTTTCTATCTTTTCATTTAACATCTTTTTCTTTATTCATCATCGTATTTTGTTTCCATCATGTCCATGTCTATTAAAGCTGAACTCTACCTCTGTCCAGGATCTTTTTATATAATTAGGTGGTCTGTCGATGACAGATCACCTATTGATTTCGTTAGAATTTTCTTTCTTTATTCTTTATTCTTTATTCTTTATTCTTTATTTATTTTTATTTATTCCGTACACTTTTTTTGTGTATACGTTTACTCGAACTCGACCTGGTCAATTTCCTTCAAATTTCTGCTAGTCATCAGGCCCTATGATATGAAGTTCCCGAAACCTTTTTCAAGTTCATGGGGTCATCGTGACGTCATCCAGGCGCCATTTTGTAAAAATCAGGTCATTATCATATCTCGATAACGAGTTATCAAAAATCAACCATATTTGGTATACATCAACTTCAGGTCAAAGGTCAACGAAAAATGTCAAAAATTTTTGAGCGCGCACCTCGACGCGCACGTACGCGCGCATTAAAATTTAAAAATGGTCAAATTCGTTCCAAATTAATTTTGCATACGTTTCAGGCCATTTTAAGCATTTTCAAAATTTGCGCGCGCGTAATTATGCGCGCGCGTTTCCGCGCGTATCCGCGCGTCTTGGCATTTTGCAACATAGAATCGCCAATTTTTTTCTGTTATCATATTTATTACATTTTTCCAAGCATTTTGATACCTTGTTTACCTGTTTCCGACCAGTAATACCGCAATTAGCGGCTGTCAAAGTTGAACGCACGCGCCGACCTGCGCTATCTGTATCCACAATACATGGGCAAAAACATGCCTATACAAAATTCATTTTAACTCTTCAGAATTGATAGATAACCCCCAATTTCTTTCATATTTAAATAGATTATGAGTTGGAGGTATGATTTCATGTCTCATTTGACCCTCAATTAACTCATGACGTCATCATAATGGCCTCCGAACTCAAAATTTCAATTTGCATATTATGACGTCAGCAGATTTTTGGAAAATTGATTGTATCTCTGTAAATATTAATCAATTTTGTTTCAAATTTTGATATGTTCTACCTGAGAATATTCTCTACAAATACAGTCACCACGAATTTTCATTTTGACAATGGTATCATGGCGTATTTTTGCGATTAAAGGAGGCATGTCAATTTTTTACATTTTGCGTGTATTCTCTATGGGACATGACTTTTTCTCAAAACTGGATTCTACATTCTCGTCTTTTGCGAGCAATATCTCCGTCGTTGTATCTTTGTTTACGCTGAGCTTTGAGTATGTTGTAGCTGAGACAATAAGCTATCACAAATGTGCCCTTTATTTTGAGATCAGATGCCGGGATCATGCTCATATTTCACTTACAAAGTGGGATTTGAGAATTCAGTTTTCAGTTTACGTGTAATCTCT